AGGCCTGGTCTAGCCTTTGAATCAGTTGAAGCCAATCCACAAGATAATCTCTCACAAAGACTAGAATGCAATACTGTTTGGATAAGCATTGCAGAGTACAAACAGAATGAATGTACGTCATTCTGTAGGTTTCTGTTGCTCACAGAAATGCCTTTCTTCTGACCAAGACTGCATCTGCACTGCAGAAATAATGCAGTCTGACACTGCTTTGACTGCCAAAGCTCAATGCTATGGAATCCTGGGATTTGTAACTTTTTATGGCACCAGAGGTCTCTGATAGAGGCGGCTAAATATCTCACAAAACTACTAAACCCAGAATTCCACAGCATTGAGCCATGGAAGTACGCTGCTTAAGTCAAATTTTTAAAAGAAGAAGGTTGGCAGGCAGTTGGCAGGTTTATGGCTGCTGGGTCAAAAGCTCTTCAGGCCAGATGTCACAAATCTGGCATTATTCTGAAACATATCTCTACCAACCCCTAGAAATCTGCATGCCATACAATATGCAGCAGTAATGATGAAACCAGGGATATATGGTGAGTCAAGGCAGGGCTTCTCTTTTCACATCCCTAAATGTGACAGGATGATACAGAATGGCATCATGAAGTCATTCTTGCACAAAACTAAGGAATGTGCAGCCCTCTAGATGTTATTGAAGGCTCCCACCAACCTTATTAGTTAGCAGACCCAATAGTGAGGGAGGAGGGGAGTTGCAGTCCAACAATATAAAGAAGTTCATACATTCCTAATCCCAGTAGTAGTGGATTAACCATAAGCACAAAACTACCTGCATTGGGAGTGGGATAGAAGGAGAAGGTTGTAATGGAGTCAGGGAATTGGTACCTTGAGATCATAGAAGCGGATGAAGTAAGAACGTCTGGGGTTATCCTTCACAAAGCACAGGACACCCGAGCCCTGCTTGGTCCAGTTTCTGCTGCCTTGTGGCAAAGCCAGGAAAAGCTGGGCCACCGTTGTGACCATGGTCTACCAAGAAAGAACATGCTGTAAGTAAATGGCCTAGATGGGCCAAGGAGATTATCAAGTGACAAAGAGAACGGCATGATTTTGGCCTAAGCACCGTGTCAGATTTCATAACTCCCTGTCAACCACAAATAAATATTCAACCCATCCTTTCTTTTAATCCTACATCTCAGCTTCAGTGCCACCATGGTTTCCTCCTCTACTCACCATGCCACCCAACTAGGGATGTCTGGGCTGTGCCAGGCCCTGAAACATCAGGACCAAAACCTGTGGTCTAGGGCTGATTCTTTGTGTCATTACAGGAGGCAAGCTCTGATGATATTACAAGGATGATGTTCCAAGGAAAGCCCCAGTGATGTCATTAACCACAATACATTAAGCATCAATTATAGCAGCACAGACTAAGCCCTTAAAATAAAATAAAACCCGCAAAGACCACCAAATGAAGTGTGCATGTAGACATATACACATCACCTTTCAAGACAGTACTTTCACCCTGAGATTCCTCCCCCTCCCTCTGAGAACTGGAGAAGAGCATCCAAGCTTTGAGATCTGGCAATCCTGCACACTGCTCAACCCAACTCAACGTAACACCTAGAACCTACTTTGGAGCCTATTGTGAAGGAACAGTCCAAATGAAATCCAGTGAGAGTCAGGGAGGGAAACTATTCTGGAACTCCCAAATCCTCCTCCTCCATAACTAGGCAAAGATATAATGGATTGCCACTTTTTGCCTGCCATGATTCTTATGCCCTTTAATCAGACTGGGGCCTAGTAGGGTCCCAGGGGTTAAAAAAATTACAGCCTTGGGGTCCACATGACTCCTGCCCTGCTTTAAGAGCTGCGTGATAGACAGGTGTTAAAGACTCAGAAGCCTAGGCAGGAATGATATATGGAAACTTTAGGCTGTACAAAGTCTTAAGCAATATGCCAATGAAGCTTAACATCCACAGCTGGACATCAGACTAATCCCTAACATCCACAAAACATGGCCTTAGGGTTTCTAGTTGCACCTGTTGTTGTAGTTAACTGCCATCAAGTTGAGTTTGACTTATGCCAACCTTTTATGAATGAGAGTCCTCCAAGTCCTCCTATACTCGACAGCCCTGCTCAGGTCATGTAGAAGATGGGCAGTCATGGCTTTCTGGATTGAGTCCATCCATCCAGAACACAGTCTCTCTCTTTTTCTGTTGCCTTCTACCTTACTAAGCATTATTGTCTTTTTCTAGTGAGACATTACTAGCTGGCTGCTTTTAGTTTTTTAGGGCTTTTTTTTTTTAAAGGCTGTGTGGCTGAGGAGTCCAAAGGCCCCTCCCTCCACTGCCAATCCCAGGAATCCATGGGATATTGTCATGGTAGGACTTTATCACATAAAGTTAGAAAAACAGAATTTTTAAAAGGATAAAAGTGTCTTTGGCCAGTACTTATCACACAATGGGCGTTTTCAAATGCATGGGTCTAAAGCCGCCTGGAAGCAATGAAGAGCCATTCCAGCGGTGAAAACAGCAGCCGCCGGAATGGCTCCTGATTGCTTCCGGCAGCAGCAACTCTAATTCCTTTTAAGAAAAGGAATTACAAACACCGGGGATGATGCCAGCCAGCGCCGGGGATGGCGCTGGATGGGGCGGGGCTTGCTGCGACGTCGTGTGAAAATTTTGCCAAAGGAGCCGGAGTGGGGCCGGATGGAGGTAGGATTGCGTCCTCCTAAAGCCCCGTGTGAAAACGTCCAATGTTGTGACCATCCTGCTGTTACCTTGCATTCTATTTGTTGCAGGTGTGCTGTGTGCCTTCAAGACATTTCCGACTTATGGCAACTCTAAGGTGAACCTAGCATGGGAGTATTATTGGCAAGATTTGTTTAGAGGAGGTTTGCCATTTCCTTCCTCTGAGGCTGAGAGCACGTGACTTGCCCAAGGTCACCCAGTAGGTTTCATGGCCAAGCAGGAATTGAACCTTGATCTCCAGAGTCATAGTCCAATGCTGAAACCATTATGCCACACTGGTTACTGTAGTGCACATTTTCATTGATGGGCAAAACCTATCAATAGGCTCTCAGTCTTACTGCTATTCCGTTACTGTCTTTGTGCGATAGGTCCCTTCCGCTGCATTTCTGCCTCTCAGGCAGTTACATGGTGTGTGTGGGCATGATTCTGCTCCTCTCCCCTGTTTCTTTTGCAACAATCATGGCTGCCAAGTGCCTCCCAAAGTTGGGTGCTGTGTGCACAGTCACACAGCAGCCAGCTTCCAGAAGTGGTTGGCTCAATGGCAATTGTTCGTTTTCCTCCTTCCTCCCGAAGGTGGTGTTTGGCAGCGAGGAAAATCGATCAAGTGACCATGGATCACCAAAGTGCTATTGTGGGGGGAAGTGTGATAAGAAACCATGCCAAACTGTATGCTTCCATTCTTAAACTAGCATAATTGTGGTAGGACAACAGGCTGCATGTTCAAGTCTGTAGTTAAAGTGGAATCATAGTGCTATAGCAGTACTGTGTGAAACGGCCCCTGGACTCTTCCCCTTCTCCTTCCCTGCAAAACCTACCATGAAAGAAAAGCCAATCGAAGGGTCTTATGGGATGATAAAACTGGGTGGAGGCTAGTAATTAAATGGTACAGACAGGAACACTCCCCTGCCTTTAATTATCATTTGGGAAGACCATACTACAGCAAGCACGAACTCGTCTTAATTACGAAGAAAGCTGTGCTTACCAAAATCCTCCATAAAATGCTATTCTCTTTTGCATCTGGTCACCCTAATGAGTAATATTTACAGCACGGAAAGTTACTTTGCAAAAAGTTATTAATTACAATTAGATTTCTGAGACCCCATAAGAAGGTAATGATGGCTATAGCTGCAATTTAAAAAAATGTAGCACCATACTTTCCCTTTTTTGGAAATAACCAAAATTAGTAATTTCAGTTGCTTTCTGGGAACAACAGAATGCTAGGACCGAGTGACTTTTTGTACAAAACATACTTAAGGGGGCCACATATAAACACACATACACACACACACACAATTGTAAAAGTAGATTTAAAGCCATTATAGTTACACTGCAAAGAATGCAGAAGTGGTCCCTTGTTGTATAATAATAATAATAATAATAATAATAATAATAATAATAATAATAATAATAATAATAATAATAATATCATAACGTTTAGTTGTTGGGAAATAGAATTACAAGCAACATGTTATTTGTAATTACTTCCAAGCTCTGTGTTAGGCATACCTAACTATATTAATTGTGGTACAAGGGAAACATCTGTTCATGTTTTCTTCCATAATCAGGGAGAATGGCAGTAAGTGGTTTTTCTATATTCTTAGGATGCGTTATCATGCTTTTGAATAAGAAACTGAACTGTTGCGTGCTGTCAGGACTTTAGCCAAAAAGGCCATTGAGAAACAAGAGGGAAGTGTTGACTTCTCTCATCAAACAGAGGTGCAGCAATCACAGGGTTTATAGAAGTATAATTTTAAAAAGCAAAACCAAAAGGGGACTTGCCCACAAAAAGACAGCCCATTAAAAGTTGAGGATGCTCCATAGGGACTGAATGTAGGGTGACAACTGGAAAAAACTGGAAGGGATGGGATACATGGAGAAATATTTGGTTGGAACCTAGAACAGATGTGTTCTTTTAAGAAAAGAGAGTAAATTCATAATTAGGTATTAATTACATAACACCGTAAGAGAACATGACACATGAGAAGTCCCTGCCCTGGTGGAACTACAGTATCAGCAATTACATCCCCCAAAATATCACTCAGATTTAAACCCAGTTACCAATCTAAACTCCCAGTCTGTCTGTACCATTGAATTAACTGCTGAATGGCAAATCAGCAATTATGTAAACCCTCCTGGCTCTGTGGTCTCCTCTAGGTGAACTTGTTCTTGTTGAAGTCATTTCTAAGGCAAACCTATTACAAGGTTTTCATGGCAAGATTTGTTCAGAGGAGGTTTGCCATTGCCTTCCTCTGAGGCTGAGAACATGTGACTTGACCAAGGTCACCCACTGGGTTTCCATAGCTGAGCAGGGATTCAAACCCTGGTCTCCAAAGCCATAGTCCAATGTTCAAACCACTACACCATGCTCCTCTAGGTAAATGACTAGCAATTCGATTTTGGTCATCATATATTTGGGCTAAAACCATTGCACTAAATAATAAACAATTAAAATATTTTAAATGGCTAAAAAAATAATAACAGGAGTAATCATGCACCATTTTTTGGAAAGTGAAGATGAGAAGCACTAGAGGAGGCATGCCTTCTTCAGCGTACTGCAGCAGGAGGAGCATGCCTCTTTTCAGACAGAGGCAGCTGCAACCTATACATGGTGTTAGGTTGTTGTTGTTGTGTGACTTCAAGTCATTTTCGACTTATGGCGACCCTAAGGCAACCCTATCACAGGGTTTTCTTGGCAAGAGGGGGTTTGCCATTGCCATCCTCTGAGGCTGAGAGAGTTTGACTTGCCCAAAGTCATCCAGTGGGTTTACATGACTGATCATGAAATTGAACCCTGTTTTCCAGAGCCATAGTCCAATGCTCTTACACTCCATCACACTGGTTCTACATGTGCACCTAAAATCAAAAGTATTCTCCCCCCCCCCGCCTTTCCGAATAATTGATTTGGGGCACAATCCTATGGAGGTTTCCTCCTCTACAGAGTCATTATTGTTGCTATGTGCCTTTGAGTCAATCACAACCCCTTCCTATGCTGTTCGACCTGCATCAAATATTAGAATATAAGCCTCTTAGAAGGAGGATTACTTCTCTTGGACATTACAATGATCGTGATGTTAAAAAATGTATTACTACAGAACACTTATGTTTTCTTTCTCTTTCTCTCCCTTCTCTTCATCTATTTTGTTGTTGATACATCCTTTCAAGTCACCTCAAACTTATGGTGACTTTCTCCTAGGGTATTCTTGGTAAGATTTCTTCAGAGGGGGTTTGCCATTCTTTGCCTTCTTAGGTTGAGAGAGTGTGGGTTTCCATGGCTGAGCAAGGATTTGAACCCTGGTCTCCTAGAATCCTAGCCCAAGTGATTGAACAGCCTGTGTCTGCTATCAGTCTCCAAGTGTAGATGGGATAAGGAGGAGGTGTTTTGGGAGCAGAACCTGGGGAAGGTGTGTGTGTGTGAACTGTGAGAACCTTAGAGTTAGAGAAGCATATTTTCCTCCAGTTGGAAGCAACAGTAAAGTTGTTTTAAAAGAGAGGGATGGAGACAATAGTAAGGGACAAAAGTGGGGTTCCTCTCACCACCCCTATTGTCTTGCTAGTGCAAGATCTGAGATTTCATGGTTCTCCCAGCACAATGCTCTCCTGAACAGCCATACGCAAATGTATCTCATCTGATGAATCAGTGAAGGTGTTTTTTTAAAAAATGGGTGAGAGCTTAATACCCTTTAAGGGTTCAAGTGTGGCACAGTGGTTTGAGTGTTGGACTACAGCTGTGGAGACAAGGGTTAGAATCCCTGCTTAGCCATGGAACCCCACTAGGTAACCTTGAGCAAATCACACTCTCTCAGCCTCAGAGGAAGGCAAAGGCAAACCCCCTCTGAACAAATCTTGGCAAGGGAAACACCGTAATATGTTTGCCTTAGGATTTCCATAAGTCAGAACTGCAGCTTCATGCTGCAAGCACAAGGCTTTCAATGCTTCACATGTTTACTGTAGAAAACTCTTTAGAGAGAGTCTGGCACCACATATGCTTATTTTTGTAGTTATCCATTGATATTTATAAACTGGTTCTTCATGCACTAATGCCCTTATTTTATAAAGGGCTTTGGTTTCATCTATGGGCCCCAAGAAGTGTGCAGATAGATCCATTGGTACAGTGTACAGTTTGGCTCAAATGTTCTCCCTCCCCTTTGACTGCCCTTCCTCTATTTGGGGAATTTTATTTTTATACAAAGTTAATATTTGGGGAATTTTATTTTTATATAAAGTTGTGACTGTCAAGGAAACATAAATGGGGAAGTTTTGCCCAGTGTCAAATGCTTTAAGAGTCACACTGAGTGAGACAGTTTACATTTACATCCACACTGCTACAAAAGGTACTGTAAAACGACGACAACAGAGCTTGGTCATGTTCCTTTTTTGGACTATAATTCCCAGAAGCCTTCAGTCAATTGCTCTAGTCCAAAAAAGTACGTTTCCCAAGCTCTGAAAGGATACTCCAGCATAGGGGGTAGTGATGAAGTAACACTTGAGAAGTCAAAGCAAAGTCCTAGAATTGCTCTCTAGCTGTGGCAAAATAAGGGATATTTGTGGGTTTGGGTGCTAAAACAAAAGAACTCAAGGAAGTTTGTTTCCAACTCCCTCCACTCAGCTAGAGGAATGTTATATCTTTCCGATCCTTCCTGTGCAATCAAGAACTTTCCTGAACAATTTTTGATGGGGATATATGTCCTTCTGGGTGAGCAGAAAGGGTTGCCCCAATACTTATTTCTCCCCTTCGCTGAGAGATTGAGAGAAAGAGAGAGAGTAATATTTATTTCAGTCCCAACTTGTCTGAGCCATGTACGTTAAAGTGGTGTCAAACTGAATTATTTCTGCAATGCACATGCAATCTTAGATGATGATTATTGTTGTTGTTGTTATTATTATTATTATTATTATTATTATTTCTGTTTAAATATTTTTATTTAATTTTTGGTCTAGTTAACAAGAGAGAGAGAGAGAAAACTGATATACCAATATGTAATACAAAACCGTTAGTACCAACATATATTTGTTGTTATTGTATGCCTTCAAAGTCATTTTTGACTTTTGGCAACCCTAATTATCCCAATAACCCATATATTAATATTCCTTCCTTAATGTTTTGGATCAAAGAGATTATGGTTTTACATGATATTTTGGAAACAGCTGATATTTTAGAATATTTTGGAATCAAAAAGGAACGGTGTTTTTAAAATATGGGCATGCTGTGTCTACATTAAAGATTTTAACTGCTTAGTAGGCTAAGAACCTCTAAATGGGTGTTGCAGTCTCACAAAACTACCTCCTCCATCACCTTTTGGGGAGAAATCACATCACATGAACTGGTTTGCAAGGAGGCATTGCCCTCAAAATAAAGCGTTATCTGGCAAGTACAGGCCACGTATTTATTTGTAGCTAAAAGATAATCTTGTCATTATTTCTGAGCCCGGTGAAAGGGCCTATTTTCAGCATTACTGGAGGTGGTAAGGACTTGCCATCTCCCCCACTACAGGGCTGGCTGTATGTCACCATTGCCCAAGCCGCCACCACACTGGGCCTTCTGAGGAAGTGGTTTTTCTCTCTCCATTTCCTGAAGACAAAGCAGTTTACAGAAACTATAAACTGCTCTACAGTTCTTTCCTTATGCTTCGAGTTATTGTTTCACAGTCAGACCTCTCCAGCTGCTTCTACGCGTGGAAGATGGAGGAGACCTAAAAAGCTCCATTGTGGTTAAGTCACAGACACTGAAAAGAGTCCCCATTTACCTAGTTTCTTATCAACCTCATTGGCTTTCTTTATTTTTATTTTCAAAACTACTGCAGGACAATGACCAACTTAAGTATGGAAATGCTTCCTCCAACCAGGTGTTCATCAACAAATCCCATCCTCCACCACCAGCATAGTAACTGGGCATGGTGGGAAATCAAATATACTTCCACACATCAAAGGCATCAGGTTGGGGAAAGCTGATTGTGGCTGACATATTTAAACAAGAAATAAGTAATGAGTTCCTTTGGGAGGAAAGATGGGGTGCAGGGAAGCTATGCCTGCTATAGTCCACATTCATCCTTACCCAAAGCCCCCATCATTTCTTTTTAAGTTGCCTCTCCTGCTTTAGAGGTTTTTAAACAGAGGCTGGATGGCCATCTGTCAGGAGTGCTTTGATTATGTATTCCTGCATGGCAGGGGTTGGATTGGATGGCCCTTGGGGTTGCTCTATAGAAATAGGTATTAATATAGCCAATAATCTACACCTTTGCAGAAGGAAGATGCGGGAACTGAATACGTAGCATCCCCAGGCAAACAAATGTCTTGACATAACCATTTTGTGAAACAGCAAGACTTGAAAATTATTTATGGTTTGGTTGTTTTTTAAAATTATCTACCATATTCTTCTAGTCAGACAAATTCCAAGTTACCCAACAAAGTCTGGGTGCTGTCTGTATTGATTGCCATTGTAATATTTCTGTCTCAGTTTCACTGACTTTTCCTTCAAAGATTATGGACCCATTATCTGACAGGTGGGGGTTATGCTGTAGTTTCTTAATTTCTACAGCATCAGTATCAATTCTTTTGCCTTTTCCTCTGCTACTCAATTGAACTCCACCTGTCTCACTGGCAACCAACCAGCCGCTGACGAGCTTCTTTAGATGCAACATTATTTTTGCAAGGAGAACACTCCAAATAAATCAAGTTATCCTGAAGCAATCATAAAATAGCATATGTAACAGCTATTTTAATTTATTTGTTACTTGCTGTTTCTTATTTTAAAGTATGTCTCAAACTATGATTGTTTAATAGCGTTTTAGGGGGAGTGGGAAGTTGGGAGACAGATTGTATGCTTTAGCGTGTAAGCCGCCCCGGTTGTGTTACACAGAGAGGCGGGATATAAATAAATTTTATTATTTTTATTATTGTTGTTGTTTGGGGGTTCCCAGGTTCCAGTTCTTTAGTATCTCTCAGCATCCGACTAATTTCCCCCTACCTTACAGATCAAGAGCATTTTCTAGCATCTTCTCATTTATCCTCAAATCAACAGTAGCAGGAAGGTCAAGCTGAAAGGCCAGGTCCCCTACCCCTGTGCCAAACTGAATGCTCAGGTCACTTGGATTCCCCAAATTTGGCCAAGAAATCCCAGCACACCACCTCCTCCTGCTATCTCCGGGAAGGGCTCCACCCTTTGCTTCCATCAAATAGATTTCTGAATTCTGCTTGCAGCCCTTCCTCCCCAGAATGATAACAGAATTACCATGCATTTCCGGCCCAAGAGTTCAAACACTTGTTGGTTCTCATGGTCCCCAAGTAGGCTGGACGGGGCATTTTCCTGCTGCGCTCGGGCTCCTGGTTTGGACCTCCGGCTCATCTTGGGCCGTCAGACTACTCAGGGCTCT